TATCAGTTGTATGTTTATTTTACATTGAAGTAATAATCAAAATGTGATAACACAAGAAAAATTCTACATATGGACGCACGATTTTTTACTGTGTATGAATACTGGTTTTAATCTTTAAGCCTAACCATATATTGCGAAAATGGGGCTTAAAGATTGAACCACTCTTTTCCAAGACTAGCTCAATTTTCACTTTTTAGAGTGAGACTTCACTCCAAAAATTTAGAGAATATGTATGAAGACAGAATTTTAATATAATATTCCTACGAATTAAGATAAAAATCCCTGTGTCCATCTTAGTTTACCGCGATTTCGCGTTCTCCAAATTTTGGTTAATTTTCATCGAATTACAACTTTCAGGTAGCGGTGGGAATCCATTCATCTCGCACTCGCTCTCGTGGTCGAGAAAATCGGATATCTCGCCGAACGGCACGATGTACGCGAAGGTGTGGACGCCAGAAGATCCGCGAACATCAAAAAATGGGACGACGTTCGAGTAGATGGCGAATTTGATTTCGTTTTACGAGTATAAGCCGAGGATCGGACACATCGCACGGTTGTGAGAACATTTCTCATCTAGAGTGTTATTTAGTGTCTAAGGGAAATGTTTCTAGTCACTGATCCTCGTTATTTGTACCTTACGATCATCGAAAGTCTCCGATTTTTTGGACGACGAAAATGGTCATCAATTTATACATCTCGCGATTTCATCAAAAAGGTACGGTAAATCGAATTAACCATTACAAAATACACGCGTTTGAGTTACATTTTTTATATAGAAAATGGAAACAATTATAAATAAAAATTAGACGAATAATAATAAATCAAGCAGAAAGAAAAAGAATCTTATTTTAAAATCTAAGAATTTTATTCTAAAAAATACATTCTTTAGTTCTATAAACTATGCGAAAAATGTATTTGCAAATTATGTAGCATACAAATATTATGGAACACCAAGACTCGCTTCAATTAAAAATCTCTCTTTTATTTAAAAGTGGAATCTTGATTCTTTTATTATTTATTTTTCCTTAATTTTGTCAATACCTTATTTTCTAAATAATATTGCAGTCTGAATATTTTCAATAGAATTTTAAAAGATGACCATGAAATATCTGATTGGAAGAAAATAATTTGTCTTTGATTTATTTCTGAGGAGATTGGATTGACGTTTATTTTGTAATGGTCGATTCAGTTTTTGCCGTTTTGTATAATACAAATCGGTGTACGCGACATTTTTACGAACGTTTTGCGAAACGTGCTTTGTAAATAGAAATTACTAAAATAAAATTATAATAGGATAAGCACCGTTTATACATAATTAACGCGACGTAATGGTGATGCATAGCGAGCATCATTATTGCCACTGTGAATAACAAAGCCAAATAAACGTAGTTCCGAGAACTTTATTGCGTTTATCATTCAGGCCTCCAAAAGTGATTAAACTCATCTTTCCCTTTCCTCGAAGACTGCATAAAAACGACGGTTTTATTGAAGTATTTGCAAATTTCAAGCGAAATATAAATCTGAAAATAATTTTGTTGGATCAAAATAATTATGTAGAACGCCTAAGTATTGATAACAATGCTGCATAAAGTTTTAACATTCTTGAAATCTAAATAATTATTTTGCTAGTCCAATAAAATTATATTCAGAGAGAGAAAGAGAGAGATTATCTGGTTAAATTTTTTAGAGAGAGATTATCTCTCTCTGGTTAGATTTTTTAATGCTCCAGTAAACCATTCTTTGCATGTACTTCATCTACAAACGCTTTTATAATTAGCGAATTGCATCGAAACCATGATAAACATAATCTTCAAAAAATAGCTTGATTAAATCGAGATAAAAGTCCAAATAGAACAATAAATTATCATGATATGAACATGACACCAAATGTCTTCAAAATGATTATTAAAAGTTTCAATCATTTACTTTCACTTTTCACTTTTTGATCATTTACAATTTATTTTAACGCCATTTATCTCGACGTTATCGTGACTTATTGTTCTCCTAAAAGGATAAAGTTTTATTGCATCAATACATACAACATTGAGAAACTTATTCCAACAATACCGTCTTTTGCGACGAATCAGTGTGGAACTTTTAAGTTATCAAATCTCGTCCGGGTTTCCGTAATCCGTGATTCGAAGATACTTCTGATAACATTATGTTGAAACAGAGTATCAGCAAGATGGCCGAAATCGCCGAAGGGCTTTATAGCGCCCTAAAACGTGCTTCTTGCATTTTAGCAAGGGTGAATTCGAATGAGAGGAGAGTGAGAGGAAAGTGAGAGAGAGAGAGAGAGAGAGAGAGAACCATGGCAATGAGAGAAGAGCACAGGAGACGCGGGGGAGACGCGATGGGCGGTACGTCGATATTGCGGCGTCGCGGCGCCCTACGACTCGACGGGGATAATGGCGTCGACGGCTGCAAGTCTTCTCACGATCCTTCGGTTCTTCCTTCTCGCGACGCTGCGGTGAGTTCCCATTTCCCGTTTTATCTTCCTCTCTTTCTCTTCGGTTGTAGAGGCAGACATTATCACACATCATTATTGTCATTAGCAACTTCGCGAAGCCGCTAGCAACACGGAAGATAAGGAACTTTATTCCTGCATTGCATTATTATACTTTCGCTTGGGGTGAAACACTGTTCGATCTACTACGATCGCGATGGTCTCCCTTGGCCGATTGAATAACAGAGTTTATTATCGCAGTAACTTTCATTATGCGTGACTCTGTAATTCTTCTGTGATTCTTCTGACTCTGGAAGAATGACGGTGACTTCGAAAACTTTGAGGCTCTGCTTAGCAAATATTTTATATGCATTGTTCTAACGTCCCTCTCGAAGTCCACGTGCGCATAGAAAAATATCATTCTGTTGCTAAAAAAAGTGATTACTCGAACAAATTTATTTTCCTTTCTTTAAATGCGGTTATTTTTAACAAAGAATTTTTTTTGTAATAATATCGATAATAATTTTAATAATTTATAATTTATAAATAATAATTTATAATAATTTTAAAATATATTTATTACAAATTTTAGAGATACTCATTAATATGTACTCAAAACAAGGATTTATTTTCTTTTCAAGCTTATTATAAAATTGATCGAAAAAGCGACTTTATATAATAAGTAAATCGATTTGATTTTAATTTAATAATCTTGAATAAAGTATTAAATTTAGTAAGATTCAATGATATATTTTGAATAAATTTGATGCTTGCAATAATGTATGATAGATTTGCGGATATATGAACTTTTGAGGCATAACTTGAAACAAGTTATTATTTGTGTATAGTGTATAGTGTATTTTTCTGCGCCGTGGATGTATCTACGATTTTGAGAAAAGGAGGTAAAAATTTATCTTTACACAAAATTGATTAAAATGCTTATATTATTTACAATAATATACTGCACGATGTGCCATTTCTATCCTGTACATTTCTTTTCTTTGAAATAGGAGCAATTTGGTTAAATATAATGGTTTCTTTATCCTTTTTATCTTTTTAAACACACAAATTTACAAATATTTTCTAAAGATGTTAAAATATATGTAAGAATTATTTATAATAATTTTTGCATACTCTTATAAAAATGATGAAAATTAACTCAGACACGAACAATTCAACATGTGTAATAAAGAATAATCATCGTGTATACTTAAAGCTAATCTTTGAAGTTCTTTAGTGAATTTTTATATGAATATAAAAGTATTCGTAAAAAAAAAAAAAAAAAATAAGCGTTTAACTTTTCATCGTAAAAATGATTTTTATAATTCATTCTCTTTGACAAAATTTATAAGAGGGAGGGGAGCAAGCGTCATCTCCTGCCTCCTCTTTTATTATACGTTCGTCACACTTTAATTATTTTAGAAGATTGATTGAAAAATGAATCACCCTTTACATTTAAATATCTGCTGCATAAATATCTTTTAAAAGTTACGTATATATATATATATATAATTTTCTCTATGTTCTGTACTTTAAATATCGAGGGAATAACGCAAGATTTTCTTGAGGTTTCCATGTTGCGCGAGGAAGTTACGCGTAAATTTTTTTCAAACAAAATAAAGTGATAACTACTAATTCGGAAGACACACTGCTATAATATATATAAATCTCCTTAAATTTTTATATTAAAACGAGCGAATTTTCTAAGACATTTTTATAATTATTGATTGATTAAATCTCGAAGGAAATTTTAACTTCGCAGTGATAACTATATTAATTTAAAAGACCTGCTGCGGTAAAAAATATTAAAAAGCAAAAGAAGAGTTAAAGCTTTTCCTGAAATTTGGAATTGTCAGCCAGATAAATTTAACAATAAATGAGGAGCAAACTTTCAAAATGCATTTTGTCGAAAATTTCATTATTTTAGTTAGAGATGGCGCAGTTCAGTATCGAATAACTTATATTATAAGCTACTCTGAGATGTTCAAAAAGCATTTTTTTATCGTTCATTTATACGCTGAAAAAACGTACACTGTTAGAAATGTTCTTAAATTTCATTAACTTTTAATGTATAATACATTGGTGAATGAAGTTTAATATCTCTGTAACCGAAAGGACTATTAATGCACATGTTAATGAGATTTAAGTTTACAGTAACTGAAAAATTAAGTGTAATGAAATTTAATATACTTTTCATTTACGGATATAA